CACGAAGCTTAGACACCGAATCGGGTCGAATTTATGCCAGTTGTAGCTGACAAGTGACAAAACGCCATAACCCTCAGGAATAAATCAATCGACCCATGGTCTTAGACAGCCGTTATATTGTTCAACGAGACACAATTCGATATATTATTTCGTCAATAATCAGTTCCTCATACCTCACCTGTTTTTCCTGTCTCTAGTGCTATTCCTCAGTTCAACAGGTCATTTGAACATGCGTACGCAAAGGAATCATTTCGAATTTTGAATTTCGGTTATCAATGATTCTAGCGTGATGAAGGTCGTTTAGACAGCGTCCAACAAAGTTAATTCTCGAATTGTGATGGTACCGCCAGGTCACGAACGAACAGATGCTGGCGATTACCGGTCTGAGAAAACTAGCAGATGAACTCAGAGACAGCAACTGGCGTGGTTTGATAAAACGGTCGAAAAAGAGAATGGAAATACATTTCCAAAACTTTTCTCGCATGCGAGAGTGCACTGGCTATAGACTCGCTGGAGGCCAATACAATGCATTGGAAGTACCTCTTTGAGGCAGACCGGCTTGTGAAGAGGACTATGACTTCTGCCGTTGCAGTGAATGTTCCCTACTAATAATCTGAGAGGCAATTTTTTATGGCTACTTTGCTGTATCAGATCCGGGTTAATCCGTCGTTTAAGCTCTGCTAACCTCAGGTGACAATGAAAAGGCAACAACGTCACTGATCCAAACAAACTATTAAATGCGAACGATCACCAACGATTATTTCGGCACGTTCAGAAGCCCCGGCCGTCGGTGATGTTCAGAGTTTCTGAGGACGGATCAGGTCATTTTCGGGATCCTTCGTTCCTCATGGCTCGTTTTCGCTGGTTCATGAGGTCAACAGGAAGTGTGCATTGCTTCGCTGTGTATTTCAGGTTAAGGAACCATTGTTAAGTAAGCGTCGAGTCGATTTAGACTCACTGTTGCACTCGTGCTTCGTTTCAGTGGTAAGTTTTTTCAGTTTCGAACACCGTGGACCATGGTTCGTATGACCTGAGCCATTTTGCTCAAGAAATGATGGTTACGGGTTCCGGTGGTCAACTGATGCATCGAAATAAGGGACAGAGACCGGGCAAGATGTGCGTGCAAAATATCAGCTGATGAACAACACGGTGGTGGGTTTTGCAGAAGCCGACTGCCTCAGCGAACAGCACCAATCGTGGCTAATTTATTGACGGAGGGAAACAGTCGGAATCGAGCGAAACCGGTCAAGCAAAGGTCAGCGAACCATTTTACTGATTTGTACATCGAGTGCGTTTGAGGCGAGTTATTCGCAGCGTTCGGAATTAGCCATGCGTCTGAGATGTCGTCCAGCACCCGTCCTGATGGGGATACCAGAAAATGA